CGTGCTGGGCTATGCTGATGATCTGGTACTGTTAAGCGAAGACGTTGAAACTATAAAACTAAATACGACAACGTTAATGAAAGCCGGTAAAGAACTAGGACTCGAAATAAACGTGGATAAAACAAAATATATGGTTAGCTGCAAAAATGACGATACTACTGGTGACATCGATATAGATGGTAATATGTTTGAACAGGTAGATAAATTTAGGTATCTAGGTTCAACGATAACTAGAAAAAACGAAATTGAAGAAGAGATTAAGGTTAGACTGAAGGCGGGAAATGCTTGTTATTTTTCTGTGACAAAACTACTTAGTTCGCGCCTCTTGTCCCGGAACTTAAAAATTAGAATCTATAAAACAATTATCTTGCCTACAGTTCTTTATGGATGCGAAACTTGGCCGCTTACATTAAGGAATGAGCAGCGTCTTAAGGTTTTTGAAAATAAAGTATTGCGTAGAATATTCGGACTGAAGAAGGATGAGTTAACCGGAGAGTTCAGACGGCTACACAACGCCGAATTGCGTGAGCTGTATCCGGATAATATAATTGATGTAATTTCATCGCGGCGAATCAAATGGGCTTGTAAAGTTGTTGGGCTTAGTAACGAGAGAATTCCTAAAAGGTTAATATTTGCTGTGCCGAATGGTAAGCGTCCGAGGGGTAGACCGAAGCGAAGGTGGGAAGATTGCATTAAAGCCGATCTGAAGGGACTGGGTTTGGACGGCGAACGGTGGAGGGAGGTGTGTAACAAGCGATTGATGGTGTCGGCATCGAACCTTCGGGTTCGCTGAGCCTTATTATTATTATAGTTTGTCTTTATTAAAACATTTTAAAGAGAACTTTTGAACGGCTAAACTTTGATAAGTTCTGTTTTAAAGAATAGCATAAATTATTCATGATTTTATTTTATTATCATCCGACAATAATACAGATATCCCACTTTTAGAAAAACTTCCTATTTTAACACGCTTAAGTTTATGGTAATTAAGTTGAGGTTTATCAGAAAAAAACTTGAGATTCACCTTAAGTTGTTTAAAAAACAGACGTGATTTTTAATTCTGTCAAATAAAAGTACTCTACTTTTTTTTTTTTGTGTCCTCTCCCTTGCCCTTAAGACTTGACGGAGTTTTCCCGGGCCTGGGGGCGAGGGCGAGGATTTAGAAGACTCCCGTGAACTCGACTCCCATGAAGGGACGTGAACTCGAAATAAAAGTACTCGTGTTTTCAGAAAAAAATTACCACAATTAACTATTGCAAATCTTATATTTCTTTTTTTTTCAAGTACTATAACTACGGAATCGATCTGTATTTATAAGTGACAAATTTTATGTTTCTGATCCTAACATTCGCGTTATAAAAAAAAAAAAACCTCTTCTGATTGTTTCAATAATTTTCATGAAAACGTAACTATTAGGGCCAGGAACAAAAACTATTCACTTATAAATGCGGATAAATTCCAATAACAGAGATCTGGGGGATAGCTGCATGACGACTGAAAAATTGTCTTTTTTTATATAAATAAAAAAATTATTTAGGCAATTATTTTTGTGATAATCAATCCCTTGTTATAAAAATTAAGACATGTAACTTTTTAAATAGTTAATTGTAGTTATTTTTGCTAAAAACAAGAGTACTTTTAGGTGACAGGGAAAACAGTCACATAATTTTTTTTACAAAATTTGGGGTCAATCTTTTGTATAATAAACTTCAATTACATTAACATAGACTTAAATCTTATTAAACGTGGACATTTTTCTAAAACTGGAGTATCTGTAGCATTTTTGGATTGTGATATGAAAAAATCGTGAATAATTTATGATATAGTTTAAAATAGAACTCATATTACTTTTGCCACTTGAATGTCCTATTTAAACCGCTATAAAAATAATATCATATATTTTCTTTTAAAGTTAATTTTTTTCTAGTTTATATTGGTAATATAATTGTTCTAGTTTATATTGGAAGATATTGTTAATACTTAAATTAAATACCTCTTAAATGGTTAAGTAAATTAATGATAATAAAAATAAAAGGCTTAGCGAACCCAATGGTTCATAGATACCTTCATTAATTAACAATTTTTCATTAAATAACTGATATTATTAGATATTTAGTTAAGTGTAAAAATATACATGACAATTTGTGAATTTAATCAATTGAATGAAACCCTGAATAAAGATACTAGAATAGATCTTTTCTTATGAGAAATTTCATAAGATCTTATACGATTTTGTATAATCAATCTGCTACTCAACATCGGTATAGATCTGCTGAGAACTCTGTTTCTCTTAAACATATTTAAACATAAAAAAAAATAAGGATAAATCCTAAAAAGCCTAATAATAAGTAAGTTCTTATGAAAATTAATGACTCTAAAGCTTAACGCCTGACGGAGTTTAGTTAGACTATACAGCAAAACAAGTAAGCAATGCTAGTTAAGGACTTCTAGGCTCTAATAACACAGTTTTTGTAAAATTCTTGAGAGAATACCGATTCTAATTTTTTGAAGCCTTTGTTCAATATCAAGATCACCATATCAAGCTTTTTTTTTTCAAATTATTACCTAATGTAGCATTGAAATTTAAAACCAACTCTACAAAAAACATAACCTTTTTATATTATTTCCGCTTCCCTTATTTTCATGAATAATTCAAATTACTTGTGAACTTTAACATTTTTTAGCTTAAAATTAGTACTGCAAACTTGGCATAAATGATATAGTCAGTTTCCTTCTAAGCAAAATACTTCTATGGTGTCAGGTATTATAATTTCACTTGCTTAAAATATTTTTTTTCTTTTGCTATGCAAATGTATTTTCACCTGCCAGCTTTTGATGTCATCAATCAGGAAGTGCTAGAAATACAAAATATAATGATATGTCAGGCATGGAGAAGGGCCATACTCAGCAGCTTCCCTTCCCTGACTTGTTTCAATTACTTAGGTTGTTTCAGGGAGGAGATCTTTCTTCCAACGCCTTTTTAGTCTCATTCTCATCGAAGACGAACATATTCAGGGGCATCATGTCAGCTGTGGCAATATATCTTATTAATCTATTGTTATTTTTTAGTAAATTTGTATAAAATCACTGGTAAAGGGTCATTACTTCGCCTGAACCATATTAAAGTAACGAATGTGAGCCCGTGGAACTTGGCACATTGGTCACTTTAACAGGGTGGCGACGAAATTTTGGTCAACTGTTAGAAGGTTAAGGTCGGTATATAGAGTTTCGTCAGTCACTTACCATGGTGCTTTTGTTACGAGTCGTAATTATCCTGATTTGAAAGTTTGAAGTTTTTGTAGAGAGGACTTTTTAGCGATGCCGTATGTCTTTGATGACTGTATGTCTGTATACATCAATATGGATTTAAGTAAGTATGTATAATTATTTCAGCCTTAGTTTCAGGTTTGAAGAGTTAGAAAAAATCGAGTATAGTAGTTTGAATTGTGTCTTAAGTGTCTTACGTTTCATTTTTACATGCTGGTGCATGCCATCCTTCAGTCGAACGTAAGTCCAAGATGAGGAATTTCATTGTTATCAATATAAAATGAAGGGTAGGTTTTTCGAAGAGTATGTAAATTAATTAGGGTGAACGCACCAGTTTTGGACAGGAAGACCAGTGATAGACAGCTTGGACTTTAAATGTAAATAATAAGATTTCTTGTTTAAATATTTCAGTTTTTTTCTAGAATGAATAACAATGCCTCTATTGATAACTGTATAGAAAATGTTCCCAAAAGAAAATTTTAAAATGCATATCATTGTTTCTACAGTGCTCTTGATGAGGTAAGTGTGTTTCATACCTTCCAACTAACAGTTTTGCTAAGAGTAAGTTGAACTTTTATGTTATCTTATCATAATTAATAAATAAAAATTTAGTTGGCGCCTAGCCAAAAACAAATCCTTGTACTATGCATGCTTCACTAAAAGCCATACGGTTATTATAAGAGAAGTTGGTTGGAGATTGCAATCATTGAAAGTACACACAAAACATACTGATTAAAGTTATATATTTTAAAATTTCTTGTTTTCATATTTAATTTAAATAGATGGGTAAAGGAAAAAATGGGTTTTCTTCATGATACAAAATAAATTAAACACGTGTAAAACTATATATTTTAAGGAACTATTGGACATTTTTTTAAAAGTATTAAAATAAACTTTTTAAAATATTCAATATTCCTATCTTTATTAAAAATCAAGGCAAAAAAAGTAGTATGATGATGGAATTCTAAACCTGGATAACATGTAGCTGAAATAAATTAATATTAAAAAAAAAAATGAAATATATACATTTTTATAATTTAGAGTTCATTTATGAAAAAAAAAAATTGTATTCGAATGCCAAGTTGTGTACGTGAAATGTTAATCGAACCTTGTACCTCTCATAATTCCTCATAACTTTTTTCAGCAAGAGTTTGCCTACAAACAGCAACATTTTTCAATTCGTGGTTGGTTCAATATGGAGACATCATCAAACCGGGAATTCACTCATTAAGAAAGTTTACTTTTGTTTCATTAAATATAGAATAAATATTTAAAAAAAATTAAATAAAGAGTAGTTGTTAAGTTTTGAGCAAATAAGAAAAAAAATTGTTTTGGATAAATTACACTCAATATTAAATGTTTAAAAAATGTCCTATTTTTTATTTTATGAAATAGCTTTTCGATTCAATTTGTACTGTAAGTGTAATGTTTTAAATAACGTTTTAGGTTAATATTCCGGAATAACCGCGAGGGCAAGAGTGATCGGTAAACCTCAAAACCACACTTTCTAATAAAAATTTTACCAACAGATTTTTAAAGAGTGCAATCTGCAGGAGCATATATATATATATATATATATATATATATATATATATATATATATATATATATATATATATATATATTAGATGTGGTGAAGGTAAAATTTGAAATTTTTATATAAGCGAACAACAGCTAAACAATATGTTTTTCATATTAACAAGCAAGTGTTATGGATTCTTTTTTCTTAATTTTTAGTCAGTTTTTCTCAGTTTCTTCTTCGATACTGATTTTTCTTTGGGTTTCGATTTGCAGAGTTTCCTAACGACACAAATGAGTTTGGAAGTCACCCATATTAGGCATATTGCTGTTGCTAATATAAACAGCTGAACATCAATAAGATGGAGCTGTACGAAGGAAAGCCAAACCGCTTTAGGCACAAGTGCGTTGGGGTACTTGATGGCGTGCTCGACCCAGTACGCTGCCTCCTCTGCGGGGCTGTGCCTTCTGTCCCGGAACAGCTTGGACCTTCTCATGGCTTCCTCCTTGTACCTGCAAAGTCACCAACAGAGTAAGAAAACATAATTGGAATAGTATGGCCTAGTATGTTTGTAATATATCTTATTCAACGTTTTGTTGGATTTTCTTCACATTTGTTCTTACTTTCTATTTCACTTAAAACAAAAGATTAGTATTAATTGCGAAAAAAAGGTGAATGAAGAGATCATAATATGGTTTACGGTAGAAAATATAGCTTATTATGGTATAGTAAACATATCTTCAAATCGACAATTCTCTCTAGAGCTGCTAAGATGAAGCTTTACAATTCGCCTGTCAGGCGTGTTGTTTGATATGGCACACAAAGTTGGACACTAAAAGTTACCGACCGACAAACGTCTGTATATGAAAGGAAGATTTTGAAGCGTATTTTTTTACCTTCTCATTGCTTCCTCCTTGTATCTAAAATGTCATCAACAGAGTTAGGCCAACATATAAAATAATTATGTTTGCGTTGTTTGTACTCCACTGAATTAATTGTATTCTTAGGATGGAAGTTGGTCGATGAATGCTGTAGTATACAAAAAAAAAATTGTTGGGGGTGGTTTCACCTAAGTTCCAAGGGTTTATCAGGACTTGGAAAATAATTAATAAGAAATTAACAGTAAGAAAATAGTTTGATAGATATTTTTCTTCTCATATTTTATATTTATAGTTATATCTAAAAATAATTGGACTATTGATATGGGAGTATTTAAAAATAACAATAATAAATAATGAATGCAAATATATAATACAGAAATTCAAATCTTTCAGTACTAATTTAAATTTAAATGTTTCCCAAGTCTAATTTAATTTTTTCCACATCAGATTCAAATCAGGAGTTTTTGAAAATATTGGGTTCTCCTGAACATAAGGAAGGATTTTGGTTTTCTTTAAAATAAGCGAACATCAGCAAAACAATACGTTTTTCATATTAACAAGCAACTGTTCTGGTTTCTTTTTTCTCAACTTTTAATCAATTTTTCTTAGTTTCTTCTATATCTAACAAACTGTTTATGTTTACTGGATTATTCATTTGTATGAATGTCAACACTTATTAATCCTCTTTTTCGTTCGTTTACCTCTTTAGCAATCCGTTACTTAGAAATAATTCAGTCTTTACTAAGATTTTAACCCGTGATTTTCGTATATTTTTGTTTTACGAGTTTAAATTCGGACTCTCTTCGGCCAGAAATATCAATTAAGTCAGAAGCGAGGGCAGCATTAATGAGTGCACTGTTCAACGGTGGTTAAAATTTTTTTCGGGATGGAGACTTCATCCACGAATCCAAAGAACGACTTCCTCTTCTTGAGGACGATGTTCTGCGTGCTTTGGTGGAAGAAAACCCCAGAACAACTGTTCGAGAACTTGTAGGAAAACTTGACGTTAGCAAATCAACCGTCGATGACCACCCTAAGACGATTGGAGAGGTAAAAAAGCGTGAGAGTTGGATTGCACACACAATACACGACCCCTCCCCCCCCCAAAAAAAAAAAAAAAAAAAAATAGCCCTTTGCTGTCCAGAATTGTCACTTGTTATGAAAAGTGGATACTTTACGTTCTAGGCAGTGGCTCGACAAAGGAGAAGCTGCAGAACATTTCCCAAAGTCCCCAACTCATCAAAAAAAGATTATGGTTACCGTTTGGTGGGATTCATTTGATTTGAAACACTGCAGCTTCTTAAATCCTGGATAAACCATTATTAATTAATCTTATTGTAACCAAATTAATGCACTGCGTCAGAAATTGGGAATAATCCTACCGGATTATCTCATCTACAGATTATCATTGTTTTAGAAAACTGGACCACTACTTACGTAAAGAAAAAATAATGTACACATGAAATTTTAGAAAATGATTTTTTGGAGTTTATCGATTCTAGAGATGGGAAACTCTATTCCAAGGAAATGGAAAAGTTGTCCATGCGTTGACAGAAATGTATTGAACGTAGTGGAGACTATTTTGATTAAATAAAACAGTTTTAAATCTTCCTTTTTACGTTTTCCCTTTTTAAACAAAAATCCTGCACTATTTTCCGGACAAACCAATGTTATCGATTTTAAGATTGTGAAGTCGGTTAACGAGATTTTCAAATAAAAAATAGCTACTGTCTTAACAAAAATTCATACACATTCATCAGCACTAATATCCGAAACTTTATTATCTAATGCCGCCCTATAAAATTCTAGGAATTTTGACTTTTTAAGTTTACCTTTTGTTTGAAAGCACTTCTTTGACGGTCCAAGCGATATTATCCCTTGAAATATTTCTATATCTGAGCATTCTTCCATAGCCAGCCTCTTCCACCAAGATCAGGTTCTTTCCTTGATCTCCGAAGAATGGAATCCCAACAAGAGGTACTCCGAAATGAACGGCCTCTGTGATACTCAAGTATCCTCCATGAGTAATAAAGAGCACGCAATTCTTGTGCGCTGTAAAAGTTCGTAATAGAGTGTTAGACAAGTTTAAATAAATAATACATAAACCATTTCTTATTTATGACCTTCTTATAAAAGCATATATTGCAAAGGTAATTCATAAAATATAATGTCATTCAAATAAATTTATAACCTAATTATTATATTACAATATAATACATTATATTTTTTAACATAGATATTACTTAATTATTATCAAATATATAACATTTATACTACTTGATTATTATATAATATATAACATATCATATTACAGCCCTCGGTGGCAGGGGCATTTAACTCCTACAAATCCCTCTTACTTCCTCTAGTTTGGGAAAAATATCGTAAAGCGAAGTAGGGGATAAAAAAAAAAAAATATATATGTATATATAATATTTTTGTTGCATACTTTATCATAAGCTTCGACTAAGTAGTAAATTTATATTTTAGGAGACTCAGGAAAATTAACTTTTTTTTTACTGCTATTTCATTTTTTTTTTTTTACCAATACTTCAGTGGATAAAGATAGATTCTAATTGAACCAACCAAACATTACGGTAATAAGTCAATTTTTCTTTATCAAATGTCATTATGAGATGTATTGACTATTAACAATCATATCTTGAACACCATGTTAAATTAACGAACGTGAAATGTTGAGCAGATTAACATTCATTACTTTTACATAGTGCTAACGAAATTATCACTTATAATAAACAGATTCGATTACTTAAATAAATAATATTTTGAAATCCATAGAAAAAAAAACCAAATAATTTTATGTTTTAACATTGTATAGCATATTCCTAATACCAATACGATGCTTAAAAAAGAAAAACTAAATTCTCAGAATACAAGAAACTCTCAAATTCTTCATGAAGCCGTGATAACTTTAACTAAATTAAGTATAATTTTTTTTTCTCAATTTTTACAAGAAAGGCATCTTTGCATGAGTGGAAAATTTTCAAAGTAATCCGTTGATCCATTGAGAGTTCTGATAGCCTTATTAAGATTCCGAACAATTGACCTAATGGAACATTATTCTAAAATTAAGAGTTATAGAAATAACTTATATTTTTACCTGCAATTTACAGCGATTAAAACAAGAAAATTATTTTTGCAAATTATAGTGATCAATAGAGGGCTTAAGAACCAAAAAAATTTTTAAAAATTGAGAAAAATTTTTTTCCAACCAGTTCAACGACCTTTGATTGAGGCAAAGGGCTTGTGGTAGATGGGGTGACAAGCAACAGGTGAAACGAGCTGTCAGTCTCGCCCTATCACACCTACCTACACCTCCTCATCTCGTGTTAATATCAAACGCTTAGACATATATTCATGTAGCAAAATAGTTAGTGAGAAAATCGAAATACTCAAAAAATGAAAAAAAAGGATATTTTATTAATCACCTTTTTAACGCATATTAAAGCAAAAAAAAATAATTTTAGTTTGTTGTTTTTTTTTGCAATGATTGAATAGAAAAGTATAAAACCGCATTTTCCGATCTAATGGTTTTTGAAAACCTTTTGCAGCTCAGATGTTGATATTACTCTATATTACGTTTTGATCTATTTCTTATCTTATTTTTAATATAAGAAATTATATTGTTAAATAATTTTATATTATTTATTTAATTTCTTAAAGATGTTTTTATTTATAAGCCTTAATATTTCAGTAATGATGCATCAAATTCAATTATTGATCTATTGTTTTGAAAATTTCCTTCTTTTTCAGTGTCGAAAAATAAGTACATTTATCTAGACGATTAAAAAAATAAGTAAGGTATAAAAGAAAACTTTATCCGTGTACAGTTCAAGAAGTATACAATTTTTGATGAATTATTTCGATGATATATTAAATTTATAATTTTTTAACAAAACGGAAATAAAACATTGGAAATCGACCATCATTGGTTTCTTGGGGTTAGTATAAATGTTTCATTTTTTCAGTTATTTAATCATTGTGATCTCCATAGGAAAAAAAATGTGATTAGTACACTCAATCGACTTTTGTACTGGTTTTAAGCAAATTGAAACTATAAATATGACTATTAAAAAAAAAAAAAGAGAGAGAAATGGTTAAGCATTATTTTCTTTAACAACTAATGCCACTGTATGATACACCATAACAAATATGTAAGTACCACCTGTCACTTGTATGAAAAGGAATACAATTCAAAGCGCTGTGTTGTATTTGGCGTTGAATACATAATATAATCACCAGTGAAATAAGTATCTGAAGTATTCAGTGAAATGATCATAATTCGATTGTTTGGATAAACTACGGCAAAATAAACGGGTATGCGAAATATCACTGGAAATGCAAAAAACAAATACAAATAAATAAATAAATAAAAAACTGAAAACTCGGTATATTCATAATAAGCGCATATAATTAAATACACTGTAACTTTGTAAACAGATCCGATTTGTTTTTGGGTATATCAGAAATTCAATAGGTTTTCAAAAAATTGGTTAGAGCGTTCTTTTCTTTATAGTGATTATTCCTACAATTTCTTTATAATTCAATACGAATAGGAAAATGGAAAGAACTTTGATTAGAACATTATAGGAAGGTTTTACAAAACCGTTGGAGTCGTTTACGGGATAAAGTCGATAGAAAACAAGTTTCTATCTTTATTATACAGCTTTAAGTAGGACCCGATTTGATTCAAAAGCATCAATGAAAGAAACTATAAAAACCTTATGCGAGTTATTTGCGAGGAAAAAATTAGGAGGTATATTAAATTACATTTTAATAATATGATACAATATATCATTTCTATATAAAATTTTATAGTAAACATTTACCCAAGACGTCCTGCTGGGGAAACCAAGAGGAGAGCTTGACATTCGGTGGTAATTTCCCAGGATAGTCCGTCTCCCACTTCATGAGTACGTTGTAGGGAAGCTCCTTGAAGACGCTCATGAAGTCTTCCCGGATATCACCGCTGGCAACGTCCGAAACTCTTATGTTGGATCCAAGAGACATGTAAATGACACCCTGCTTGCTTTGATCCATGTACGTTTGTAAGTCCTGAATCATGGAAATAAACAAACAAAAAAAATAGTTGTACGTTATCGATTTAGTATAATATACTAGATATTATCTTCTATATTTAAAAAATTAAAACGGATGTTTGCTTTTGACAAACTTATTTGCTTGCTCGTTATCGAAGGAAAGCTTTGCAATCCTGCAGAATGTCAAAACAATATTTTTAATCAGAATCGAAAATATCCACTCGCATTTCAGACATCAAGGATCAAATTTTATTCGGTGTTTGCGTGTAATGAAATCGATGTGACGGGCATATCATGGCCTTACATTAATTGAACTTAACTCCATCCAATACTTTCGCTTATACACTCGCAAATGTGCTTTCACTTTTAATTTTAAAATATGTCAATATTTTAGAAAGGGTTCGTTCAATTTAACTTTAAGTTATAAGAAAGGTACACATGAATATTTTTAAAGTTCAATATTTCTGTTTTGATCACGAATAGGCACATATGCAGTCCGCACATGAGAAACTCTTTTACATTTTTCGAATTTCCTGATGATCATAGCTCGTGGATATTAAACCTTGTCCTTACCGTATTAAAGGATAGCTATATTTTGAAAACGGCTTCTTCCAAAGAAGCCGAATTCTCAACCGAAAAATTATTGACACTGAAATATAGGTAATTGTTTAACCATTGAAAATAGCGAGAAAACTGCACTAATATTACTTAGCAGACTTTTTTATAACAAATAAGTGTTTCCGGGATATCAATACATAAATATTCGAATGATTATTATGTAATTAGACGAACAATAAATTTTCCCACGCTTGAGTTTCTGATGGTCTGACAAAAAGTTAACTATGCCTTTTTACCTCCTTTAAAAGTTTTAAATATGGAAATGAAATCTCTTCTTAAGGGTATAAAATTAAATCAATAGTGGTTACTTAATTTATATATCTATGTGGCATTATTATCCACAATTTTGTGTGCTGCAGTTGAATAAAATTTCCCAATACCATGAATTCTGAGCATATTCTTTATCTATTTAAGAATGAAATTATTAGACTTTTTTTTTTCATATATAGTATATTCATGTTCGGATGTAATTAGAAACAAGTGTAAAACTAACCTCCGGCAATGGTTTCGTCGGTCTGATGTTGATCCCTCCGATCTCCTTCCTGTGAGGTGCCGATGGAATAGGATAACCTACCGCGAAGTGGGAGTTGGTGAGGATGATACTCCTGTTGGATACCATCTGATAAAGTGAAGGCCTGGTCTCCCAGCCGGTGTAGTTCATGTAGGTGTCGGCCACTGCCTGGTGCTTGTAGAGGTAATAGTAACCAAGGACTGTCATGATAGAGGTCACGTAGACGTTGTAGAGCTTTTCGAAGAAGTTAAGGTCGTTGGTGTGTTCATACTGGTAGTCTAACTGGTAAGACGGATTATCTGGTAGTCCCGAGAGTTCGTGCACCCAAGCGCTGTCCCCTGCAACAGTTTTTCTTTTAAATAATAGTTATAATCTTTGGAGAATAAATGTTATACAGGTCTAATAATATTTAATAATATCATTCTAGTGCAGTAAAAGACAATATGCCAACACAGAATATTACAGGCACATTTGAATCAGATAACGCTAGCCAAGAACCCACTTACGAAATTTTAAAGATATACTTGGCATATTTCAGAAGATTTAAAGTAGGAGTAGTCTCTGCTTGGTACATATATTCGACCAATGGAAATTCTAAAGAAGAAATGGAAAAAAAAAAAAAAGAACTGCAGATATTTTTTAAAGAATCAAGATATCTGTGGGAGTTTGTTGGAAGAGTCAGTAAGGGGAATGCTTTGGAGTAGGAAGTCCAGTGTAAAGGTTAGTTGGAGGGTTATAAGAGAACTTGGAAACAGTGCCTACCCAAGAACAAAAACTTTATTCCTGGATAACTGGACTTCTTACAGAAACTAAATGATAATATTCCAAATCTGCTCGTGTAAATCTGGGTTGATAATCTATGGAATGGTAGAGTAATTAGTCATACTCACATCGGCATCCTCATGCAATGTTTTTAGACATATTTATTTATTGAAAAATATTACAATCAGTCTCAAAAAATATTTATAATAGCGTTCCGAGATCACATTCACACTCTACGTACAATAAATAAATTATAATTGGTAAATGGTTGACTGTTGTGAATAATGAAGAGAAGAATAGTTGGGGTAATCAGTCAAATAAGAAGGCAAAAATAAATATTATCATTTATTTTTGCCTTCTTAATTGACTGATCACCCCAACTATTCTTCTTTTCAATAAATAAATTAAATTATACAGAAAAAATAATATATACACAATAAATAAGAATAAAATAAACTAAAAATAACTAAATAAAAAGAACACATACATACCAATATACATTATTTACAATCATGCAAGAGAACTCCGAGCCAGACTGGTCTCTCCAACTGTGGAGGGAAAAGCATGATTCCAGGAGATCCCTGCACTTCCCTGCTACCGCGTCACTGGGGCTAAGCCCAGTGGCGATTGAGAAAGAGTGCTTAAGTTATATTTATTAATATTTAAAACAAAAACTGATTTTATTTTCAATTATAATTTGATTTTAAGCCTTTTTTTTCTGCTGATCATAATTTATATTTAATAAGTAAATTGATAACGCAATATATTTAGAACTGAAATCTGGTATGAACTTTAACTCAATCTAATATATCAGAAGAGAGGTTATGTGGTATCTAATCATACTAAGTCGTATTAAATCTATAAGCATTACATTTCCAAATAGATCTAATACTTAAAATATATTGAACATGAATAAATGCAGTTTCTGGAATTCCGCAACCCACCTTGGAATATCGGATAGAAACGTTGCAATATATAGATAAACAATGATGGCCACCTTCAGATATCATGTTAGTAATAATTTTTATTGATATTGGAATAACCATTATTACTAATACTTAATACCATTCGCTCTAATTAAAAAAAAAAATTGTAATATGGAATTTACTTATATAACTTTCTAGTTTAAATTTAATTAAGTTAGTTTTTTCATGTATATATCTTAAATCACTAGCGGATCCAGGATTTAATTTTTGGGGGGGAGGCTTCAGCCCGAAAGCTCTTCTTTCGATATTTAACGAAAGTTACTTTGGAAAAAAAAAGAAAGAAACAACTACCTATATGAAATTGTGTTTAAGTGATTCCTAAAATCCTTTTAAATGTGATTACATGAATAATAATACTTTAAAAGGTAATTTTTAAATATTTTTTTCTATAAAACATGGTTATATTCTACTATTTTGGGGGGGATTAAACCCCAAAGCCCCTCCACGTAAATCCACCCGTGCCTTAAATAAAGGATTTCATTTCCAAACAGGTTAATTGTATAATCTATCTATGTATGTTAGATATTGGATAACCTTAGTTTGAAAAGGTTCTAAGAAATTTGTACAAGTTGAGTTTGACTCTGAAATCACTCATTACAAAGTTCTATATTATGTCCCAATTAGAGATGGGCAAATGCTATTCTGTACTGAGTACCAAGTATTTTACCCAATTACTACTTCAATTAATATCGAATGATTAACTTAAGTAGTGATTGAATTCCCAATAGTGATTCAATTTGGGTAAAATACTTGGTACTCGGTACTGAGAGTAGTATTTGCCCATCTCTGGTCCCAAATGAATTTTAGTGCCATCTGTTACTTCAGTACTACTCCGCTGCTTGTTTAGTTATTTATTGAGAGTTAAACATGAATTTTATCATTTATATTATCCATAAACGCTTCTGGGGATAAAAAGAATCTTATATAAATATATAATGTAAACAAACGAATTCGAAATTATTTAAGTTAGGTTTTAGCAATGCATATATCATTAGATGATCAGCACTTTTTTTTTAATTTACTTTGGTGTTGCTTATACAAAAGAAACATACTTATGTGTTTTTATTACTTATTATTTAACTTAATCACATGAGTAATGGTATAAAAGTAGAGTATTGCTTCTAAAATAATTAACTTTCTTTTCATTTAATTCGATTTTACGTATCCTCCATGAGATGTAAACCTCAAATTAGTACTTTATATAGCCTGATTTAAGAAATAAGGAAATTAAAGAGAAATACATAAACGAAAAATTGTATATAGTGAATGGTGAATTGTTCTGTTATATTTTCGGATTATATGTATGCTGTTATATATTGATCGTATTCGTTAAACGTCGAACCCCAAATTTGGAGAGTTCTTGGTTCATCACAAAGATTTATTATTGAAAATAGTTTAGAATGATAAAGCCTAACTACGGCATTTCAATACTCAAAATGATATTAATAAGTGGTAAAAGTAAGTCATCGTTCCACTTCTTAATATTTATAACCAAAATGTATAATAATATATATTTTAATTAATGGCGTTGATGACCAATAGATTTCGCGCATTTACTATACAACAAACAACAAATTAAGTCATCGACGAATGCAAATATAAGTTCACAGCTTGGAAGTATTGTAAAAATAAAGCAGTTAGTTTAAGTAATAAAATATTCATACTACAGTAAATTATAACTTTGAAGCTCTATTTCTCAAATATATAGTAAATGCAGTTACAAGCGTTTCAAACCAATGTTTAATGAATGTATTTTAATAAAATATATTTTATATTTTAATATAAATGATCTAATACTTCGTATACCTGTTCCCTATTCTTAGAAGGGATGTTGCCTTAACCAGACTAAGGATAGGATATACAAACCATTCTTATCTGGTAAGCAACCAGCCTGCACAAAAATCCCAACACAACCAACCACAGCATTCTCATAGTCAGTCATCTTCTCCAAGAGCTTCCTTATTACGTATTAATTCTAATATCAAAATTATCAGTAGTTTGTTTGTTTGTTTATTCAGGCTTTAAGGCGTAAAACCCCAAGGTCATCAACGCCTGTGAGTCAGTTACAGTTAGAGGAGAAACAGAAAAAAAATGAACAATCAAAAATTAATGATAGATAGATATAGTGGTATATGAAAAATATGTTTAAAAGCGTATAAAAATGAAATATATTAAAATAGTTACAAAAAAAGAACAATAAAATCATATCTATTTTTATATTTTATTTAATAGTCTATGGATTTTAAGAAATTTTATCACGGTTCCTATGTTTGATTCGTCATTGTTTAATACTACTGATATATCCGGTTTTAGAGATAATCGATTTAGGCTTGGAGTATAATAAGTGCATTGTTGGAAAATATGGTTGACTGTGAGAAGACTATTGCAATGCTGACAATTTGGTGGAGGCTGCTTAGTGATAAGATGTACATCAGTTAGGTTCGTGTGTCCTATTCTTAACCTGGTCACAGCGACTTCCTCTCTACTATTAGGGCGGTTTGATGTGATCCAGGGCTTAACAATTATCAGTAGTTATCATATCATGGAGTTCACAAAGACGTATAATTGAAATCAATTTGAAAACTGAGTTTTCAAAAATAATAATAATACGATCATTATAATTTATAATAATCATAAATTAACCTCAATTCGTATGATAAAAAATTCTTAATTTAATAATTTTATATAACCCGTAAAGTGTTTATTGTATTTTGTCATTACCTAAAGGCCTGACTTCTATTCCAACAGCTCCAAATTTATGTATTAATGGAGAAACGAACTGGTGGGTTAAATAAGATTCCATTATGATAGCGTCGAATTTCTCGTTGGAATGTATCAGCTCTTGCATCTTTGGGCTGCTGAGGAAAGCGGGAGCAGACAGAAGAAACATATCGTACATTATGCTGGTCACTTTGGGTATGCTGAACTCACCGAACTCCACGAACGTGAAGTGCTTCTTGGAAATGGCTGAAACACAAACATATCAATTCACGTTGTACTGCTGAAACAATCAATAAATTAAATAAAAATTATAAATTGTTGTGGCTAATGGATTAGTTTTATCTGCTTGGTAAGAAATAAAGTTTTCAATGATTTTAATTTCAAAATTTATAAGCCTTCAATAAAAAGTGTTGTTATTTTAAACCATTTCACTGGGTGACACTATAAAAATATTATCCGCGGTAAAGACCTTTATTGCCAAATTATTGGTATCCGTCTAATATTTCGTAAATGGCTTCATCTTATCGTAACGTACAGCATTTTTATTTACTAAAGTTACAAAGTTACAAAACTTTCAAAGTTTTACGAAGATTGTTCAAACTTTTAGACAGAACTTTCAACAATATTTCACACGTTTGAATAATTTTAATAATATGAAATAAATTGAATATTTATAATTGTAGTAAAACGCCAATGACCCTTTAGCGTAGAGGCGTGAACATTACAATATTTACAAAAAACATAAGTTTTGATTGACTCCCTAACAGTAAGATTATTTTATAAGAAAACGAGACAAAAAGGGTGGCCTACAAAAATATTAGGCCGTTTGGCGTGACCTCCACCACCAAGAGGTCAAAATTATGAGGTTAAATAGGTCAAACGGTCCAATATTTTTATAGACCACCTATCAAATTATTGTACGATTCAAATGGATAGAAAATGGGTACTCATGAGTTATTAGTAATTCATTAACTTAATTACTTTAATAAGTGTCTGTTCTGCGGACTATTATTAGTCCGTATATTATTATTATTAATAATATTCGCAAAAATGTATGTATACATATATATTATTTATTATTTATATTTTTTAATATTATATCTTCGCCCACACCTGCCACATGCAATGACAATTAACGGGTTTGCAGTCGGTGAGAAAATGTAGTGGCTTGGTCGAAGTAAGGGAGAGGAGTGCCCAGCGGCATCCCTTCCTGTTTTGAAAATGTTGTAAAGTTTTAAGCGAGGAAATCCCTCATCCAGCTTCTTTTGAGAATCCTGCATATGTTTTCGAGCATGTTAAATGCAGCCATACTTTGTATAAGTGAGTTAATTTGAACATGTAAGATATTGTGAAATATTTTGTGCCCCTATGTGGTCGTTAACTGTTGGCATTTGAAAGATCTTTATGTAAAGCAATGTTTGTGACTTACCATGGAGATTAGTTATAGTCCTGAAAGTTGACTGAAAAGTTTGAAGTTTTCGTAGATGGGTCGTTTTAGGTGCCCGGTGTATAGCGTTGGTCTGTATGGACTTGAGTAGGTAAATGTAAGTGTTTTTGTTATAGGTTTAATTTTCAGCGTCTTGAGAGAAGTGCGTATAATAGTCGTAGTCTGAGGTTTTTGTTGGTATTTGGGCTCCAGTTCATTCTTCTGCCGAATGTCAGTCCAGGAATTGAGGAATTTCGACAATGTCAAGGTAAACTGAAGGGTATGTTTCATGTTGAAGAGCGAAAGTGAGTGTTGTGTCTTGGTTGATTTAATTTTTCCAAAGTTAGCACCAATCGTTTAGTTGGTAAACTCTGTGAGGCCTATGTCGAACTTTTATGTCTTGTTAGAATTTCTGTATCGTATGCGTAAGTCGCAGTAATATGTATAATGATGTATACTTAAAAATAAACATTTTATTTTCATACTTCACAATTTTCCTTTTTTATATTTAACTTGAGCTAATTAATTGATATAAAATTGTAATTAGATTACCATTAAGTAAGATAATTGAATTATATCAAGTTTTAAAATTATGGCTTGAAATGAAATTTTCACTTTTATTTTCCTGTAAGACTGAAATCTTAATTTACATTTTTTTTCTGTTATTTCCGAAGCAGGACTTTTCAATTAAAGGTTTTACGAAACTTTTTATTAAAAAATAAACTTATATTTAAAAGTAATGTTGAAGCAATTCATTTCTTCAAAGATTCAATCCTAAAATGGTAATATAGTATATTCTCAGCTATTCAAAGACACATATTTCTCAACAAAATTATTTAAGATAAATTATACCTGCATTCTAAGCCTACTTTTGTTTTATCATTTAATATAACTTTTTTATTTACAGATTTTAGAGATAAGGATTAAAATGTCAATGTTTATTTGTTGTATATACTGATTATTTTTCATAATTTTCTTTTATTGTTTGCATAAATAAATGTTAAACTTTTACTATAAACCAAGAACTTTAATGAAAAACTCTTTCTTAGAAATTTTATTTTAAAACTTTTAACCTTAAACGTTTCATAGAAATTATTAGATTGGAACTTTTTAAAAAGTCACGTATAATTTTCAAACCCAGGTTTAAAATAAAAGATTCATTATTGAATATTTAATAGTTGACCGTTGCATTATAAAGGAAGGAGATGGTCCGGGTTGGCGGTCATAAACTTGCTAAATAGTGGCAAAACTATTGAGTTCTAAGTGAAACTCCTAGCTGAACACACCTCCCTGAAGAAGACCGGGTCGAAACGTTGGCTTTTAATAAAATAGTTTTGCCACTGTTTAGCTTGTTAATGACCACTAACCCGGACCATCTCCTTCCTTTAACAGATTCATTATATTGTAAAATAAAAATTATCGACATGACAGCCATAGGTTACTCACATTTAGTCTGTTGTTCGAGTATGATTTCTTTAATGCCCTGAGGTACTTTATCATATCCGAGCCCGGTGTAATAGACGACCTCGTGACCTCTGTTCGCCAGTTCTTCAATAATGGGCCTAAAAAGAAACTGATGAGACTTGGCTGAAATCGGGAAGAATGCGAGGATTCTTGCTGACTCCGTTGAAGCCGCTAGCAGCAGGAAAAGTAAAGCTGTCGTTTCTTTCAACATAACTGAAACATTACAATAACAACAATTGACCGTTGAATACAAATGTGGTTGTAACTTTAGAAGTCCCAAGTTCTACGAAGTTAGTTGAGAATAATAAATAATATTTTTTTGCAAGGAATGACTGCTTAGTTTTTCTGTAAAAAAAAGTCAATCCCAAGTATTTAAAAGTATCTAGTTAATAAACCTATAAATTAATCAATTCAACATTTAATTGATTTGCGTAACTAATTCATCAAACGGCTGGATAATCAGTAATTTTATAAATAAATAAAAGTAGATTTTTTTTGTATACCTTGCTAGTGGCTTAGTTAATACAAATAATGGCATGAAATAATCATATATATTACTTCTGGAATATTGAAAGATTAATAAATCCCTAAAAAAAAATAAATCATGGGACCATTTGGTGCAGATTTATAGGGTTCTGATATATATTTATAGCGTTGTTGTATTCCAAAGATTATATTGTAGAAGGGAATTTCTACAATATATGGTATTAATTATTTTTTAAATTAAAAAATATATTATCCTTTTTAATTAATTAAATTATTGATTTTATTTTTATTTATATAAATGCGTCTTCCTTTAAACACTTTTTGGAATGTTTATCAATGTGATTCAGTTACATTAGCTTTTACTTTCAGATCTTCATCATTAAAGTTTATTATTTTAAAAATAACTTTCGATTTTTGTTTTAATGATAAAGTGACATATAACCTTTTATAAAAGAAGAAAGTTCTTTCGTTACTAAATAATCAATTTATTCTTCTTTTTCTATTTGGATTAAGAAACTGAGAATTGGGCTCCACTAGACTATTGAATCCCTATCGTTTCTAATCCTTACAATCTTTAATCCTCAATGCTCCTTACTTTGTCAAAAATAAAATTATTCAGAACGAACATAATGTAGCATATCTATCCGATTTGGCCCAGTCCTGATATCTATCCTTCTATAATGAACTTCAGAGCCATCCAAACCTTTTCGTTTCTAACCTTGATTTCTCTTCGTTTCCTGATAACACTCAGAGGAATCTGTAAAGAGGATTTCATGATTTCTTTATGAAGATATGTTATTAGAATGCTACCAGTGGGAAGTTTTTCAAGAAGCATTTTTAAGTAATTATATTTCTGTGAAGACATTTACTAGATGAATTTTTATTTTAATACAGTTGCAAATATTATGAATACATAAATAAATGCTTCCATTACTGGACATTTCGGATTTCTGACTGAAATATTAATTCTACATGATTATTACTATTATATTGCTATTATTTATCAACCCTGCCGTGCCTAGTAGGCAATACGGGTGTCTGCAATAGTAAGATGTTAGGCAGGTCAGCTTAACATCTCACTGCTGCAAACGAATCTTGTTCTTCTGCTCTTTCTTCATGGTTGCTTTTCTCATATGTTTCCCGCCAATGGTATAGTACCTCTTCCTCCTCTTCTTAAATTAAAATGGGCTGGCTCCAACGCGACTTTCCACCCGTACACAAAATCTTTGTAGTACGGGCAGTTTTCCGCAGTGACTCACTGAGGAAAATCGTTCTCTGTGAGAATGTAGAGACCAGTTTCCCTCAGTAACTTAGCCCTTAGTTCTTCAAAGGCGGTGCAGTCCACTATGATGTGCTCAGCAGTCTCCGGAACACCGCAGCTAGGGCATAGGGGGTCGATGTCCATCCCATGGCAATGAAGCTTTGCTCGAAAGCCCCCATGGCCTGTGAGAAATTGCGAGAGCCAATAGTCCGGGACGATCCAACTTGCTTCTAAGCGTGGCCGGACGGTGGGGAAGTACTTCCTCAAGGTAGATCCTTTGGGGGTTATCACCCACCGCCGGTTCTATTCCTCTAATGTGTCGTCCCGTATAATGTTTTTCCATTTGCAAGGATTCTCGTCAATTCTCACCTTAAGATGTTCCGGTAGACCTGCTGAGCCGTTTTTCTTAAACATGTGCTTCATCATATCTTCTCGCAGGAGAAGGTCGAGATGTAACCCTCCTGCTAATACCTGCGCCGCCTCATGGGATACGCTTCGATACACCCTGGTGACCCGCAGCAATGCCGTTCGCTGTATTGTCGCCAACTTACTCTTCTGTCGGTGCGAGAGGCTCTGGTTCCAGGCGGGAGACGCATACCTCATGATACCCAGAATCACTCCCTTATAAATTGTTAAGGTTGCTGGGTATCTGAGGCCCCAGAAAGCGCCCCCAACCCGACTGAGACCGTTCAAAGATAGGGCAACCCTGTTTTTAAGATAGTCCAAGTGAGGGGTAACGTTGAATCTTTTCCCAAATTTTACGCCTAGATAAGTGACCTCCTCACTTGGACGTATTCTCGATCCTTGAATCGTTATGATAATAGGGTGTGCCCTATCACTTTTCACTTTCATGACAATTGTATGAGTCTTTGAAGCAGCCATTGATAACTTTTTCCTCTCGCACCATTCTCTGACCAAGTTGGCGCATCGTTCCGCTTCTTGTCTTAAGCCGGCTATGCTATTGGAGGCCACCACTACTGCCAAATCGTCCACGTATCCAGTGGCAGGGAACCGCTGTTCTTCTAACACTCCCAACAACTCATCAAAAACGAGCTTCCATAAAGCTGGACCAAGTACCGATCCTTGAGGACAACCCCTCTCTATGAAAGCTTCAGTCTCATAAGAACTACCACGAACCTTTACACGTCTATCCTGTAAGTAGCTTCTTATCAATGCATATAAGTTATATTGCTATGTATTCTAAAGACTAAAGAATATATTTAATCATTTCAAATGAATAAACATATTCTAAAGATAATTTCTAATACCTGGGCGGTTGGGTACCAGACGACCCACAATTCAGTGCAACCTTTTGTAAGGAGCAATAAAACACTTAAGAATCCCAAAAGACCGACAAAGCTCTTACAGGGGCAAAGAAACACTTAACGACCGACAACAGTCTTACGCCTGAGTGTTTAAACAGGATCAAAGGAAACAGAAATACCTCCGGGAAAGAGGAAACAGAGTACGGCCTGGGGGCATGGTCATCCCTTGTACTAGGACAATTCAGCCATTCAGAGAAAACTACATAAAGAGATGACAGAAAGTTTGGAAAGAACACTTGGAGGAAGACAGGCGGAGAGAGCACATGGACGAGACTTGAGGAACAGAGGCTCAGCGAGCAGCGTGGAAGGAGACTTGGGGAGGACAGGCTGAGAGGACCAGATCGACGGAGAACCCACAGAGGCAGCTGGGAGTGAATCTAGGAGAGTCCAGGGAAGCTGCTAAGAGATGACAGCTAGAGACACCGGCAACCCCCCTCACCATGAAGAACCAGCTAAGTGGTAGCATGCATTTAGTTATACAGACGTAAACTAGTGTTGACAATCATTAATCATTAATAGAATCAATAGATCATAAGTAACTTCAATCAGGCATATCCAAAATAGCTGTCTCCTCTAATACGATCCTCTTATAATTATTGTACATGTATATTTTGTTTGTGCTTATAAATATAGTAGATATTAAATCATCTTAGTAATTTTACAATCTACCTTGCATGACATCAATTAGTTATAGAAACAAATTTATAAACACTATACCTTTCGAAAAAAAAATTCAATAAGAAGTCTATTAATCAATCTAGGATACTACAGTAGGGGGTCTGTGGTATCTAACCTTTAAATACATAATTGATATATTTTTCTGTTGATCGGTTCCATTCTAGAACCGATATAATTCCAGGAACCCCCTACTCGCCGTAGAAATGCGAGGCCAGGTACATAGCAATATATGTAACTAATTGGCCGTGCGAATAATTCGAAGAAAATTTTGTTTAGTGAAGAAATAGCAAAACAATATGGAAATAAGTAGTTGCTATGTATTTTGTAAGGAAGGAATTAATATTTTTTTTCTTGGTCGATTACAATATTCCAGTTAACATAATAAACCAAAATATTTAAACAAATTGCTTTGCTATTACCTATTTTTTAACAGTGACGGGAAAGATAATAAAAGTAATAAAGACAAAATAATGACCCGATAACGGGATTTTCTAAATTATTAAAAAAAATAAAATGTAAGAACAAACAAAAGCCTTTAAGAAACAATAAAGTTAATATTTCATCTGGGAAAAAAACGGTGTAGTAGACTATTCTACTCCTAAATGCAACATCTTTAAAGAGGAAGACAATATCAAGTATAGCAAAACTAATAGACTGTTTCTTTGTTAATAATTGACCGAATTTCACGTTTATTTTTGTGGTTGTTTGTAGGTAATTTAGTGATCTTTCTAATTATCATAGGTATAATCCAGAAAAGAATGCATTATTTTTGAGTTTGCAAATAAAGTTTCTTTTCCTTCCTAACTTTTTTTCCCAGACGTTTCGGGCGGATAAGACTATTTCTCGCATGTGAATGAGAAGAATATCTTAAAAATGAGTGGTTAATCATTGGATTTGATGAATAATTGACGAAGTTATGGTGTACCGACAAAAAAAAACACCTTTCAGAAATAAAATATAGGATTAAAAATATTCTCGACAAGGTTATCTGAGACATTTTAATACATAATTAACATTTTATCATTGTTTAAAAATATCTTCAAAGATAAAGTACATCTTCTTTCACATTGCCTCAATTGGATTGATCCCGCAAGCAATACGTATATGTTCCACACTTTAGCTTTAGCAAACGACAGTAAACAAAATAAATCTTGCACAGATCTATCACTTTATTTTCATTCTTTTCCTGTCCTAAAGTATCCTTCAACATTAGCCCTCTTATCCCTGTCGAACAAATCCGATACTTAGGACTCCACCTTGACAAACGACTCACTTGGAATTCCCATACCAGACTTAAACGACAAGAAACCGCTCGACGTTTCCGAATACTCCAACACTTACTAGACCAACGCTCTAAGCTTTCAATCAATTACAAACGACTCATGTATATGACAATAATAAGACCTATTTGGACTTACGGAATTGAGTTTTGGGGCTCCACTAAGCCATCGAATTTCTCTC